ACTCTAGGGTATTAGTTGGAGTCCGAATCTATGTTCTCACAGTTTCTGCGATCCACGCCGACTGACGAAGTGAGTACTCCACACCATCTCACTTTTCGTAGGGAAATAAAGTCACAAATACATGTAAATTCAATGTCCGCCCACCTGTCGATGCAACCTCAGAGGCATGTCGAAAATGTTTTCATGCATGAGAGCTGAATCGACCCGTACGAGTTTTAAATTCGAGCATTTCAGTGTAGACAAGATTCAGATGGATTCCAAAGCAAGATCATTATAACCACAGAGCCTGAACGGGGCAAGGTATGTTTCATGCTATGTTCCAACGGCAGAACGGTAGTGTAGGACCTGATTTCAATTAGAATACAGGACTCGCAAACTTAACTTCCTAGCCTAAGTTCATGATTTCTCTACATGACTGTTGATACTAGATTTACAGATGTAGCTTACAGTCGAAGTTACAACCTCAGCAAGCGTTGAAGCACGTGTTCAACAGTGACGAAACATTACAAACATGCACTCATGTGTCTGTTTTTTTTTCCAGAATCCAAATGCATAGGTTAAAACTTCCTAGGTCACAGAAGACACTCATGTACCTATAAGGGAAGAGTTTGGATTGATGTGACATTCTGATACATTGTATGGTAAACTATAGGAGTAACCTAACATTATGGATTTGTCTGACTCATATACAAATGTATCTGAAATTGAATTAAGAGACCTAGTGTATACAACAGTAAAAAATTAGCTTGCATCTCATGGACATTACATAATCATCCAGTTTCATTTCCATATAAATAGTAGAAGCAACTCCAGGAGCTCAACCATGTTGTAAAATGAATAGCTCTAACTTACCGTAAGATAAAAACACTGAAATAAACAGTCTAAGCATCCATCACACAAGCGTGAACATAAGAGAACCATCATGTTATCATATTGAGTCTATTAAATTCTTGTATTAAATGCATAGATATTAGTTTGGCTAAGCGTAGAGAAATCTGGCATTCTGTAGCAAGTATGTGAGCAACTAGGAAACCTGATCCTTTGAGAGAATCTCCACTTGAGGCACTAACATGCAGAAGACCTATAGATTTGTCGTCTTTGTCTCTGCCAAGGGTTGCTGACAGCTCTCTTGTCACACATGCCTTGTACCTGGCAATAGTTGGGCTGTCTCTTAGAGACTAACAAGGGGAATTTGGGCTTTTATTTCACACATTTTTTTGCGAAGGTTTATCCAGAAAAGGAAAATGGGGAAGCTTCCCACTTTAGGCAATTCTCTGTGCATGATTAACCGTTCCATCGCCCATAAAAGTAAATCGAGGATGGCTTTGTCTGTTTTCATTATCACGCTTCCCGATACTGCCTGTTTTCCGCTGGATGTCTTTGGCACTTTGCCCTCTGTTTGAAGGGTGAAACAATACAAGAAAATGCATCATAATCTCCATCTACGAGGACTACAGAATGAGTCTAATTTCATTTGTCAGGATCCTTGATTCTAAACCAACTTTCAACTATTGTTTGGATGATTGATGATTAGAGTTGTCGGGAGTACCTCAATGATTGACTTATTTTCGACCCCAAGTACAAATTTTAGGCCGTAGCCCACATTCCATTGCATATATTCCACAGGAGAGCTTTGTGACGGGAGAAACTAGTTTACCTAAATAAATTTACATTCAAATAATCCTAGATGTATGCAACTATGGGCATGAATTTGAAGCACGACCATGGTGATCCAAGCGTCGGAAATATTTTCTACCTAGATAGCTTCTTTTTTAACAACGGATTCTTTGGGAAGTTGATGTTGAAATAAAGAGAAAGTTGCATACTACCTTCCTAAATCCAATGCTCGTGACGGTCTCACACAGTAGAAAAAGTTACTCTACATAGTGCATATGTGGTGAAGCCTATTGCTTCTAGGATTTTGACACGAGGATGCATTTGTTTTGCTTGGAAGCTGCAAATGCATGCTAGATTTTGGGGGACTGGAGGCAAAATTCCAATCACACATGGGAGTTTTAAACAATGAAGAAAGCTACGCTCTGAAGTGCATAAACAGTGAAGCCTATTGCCAATAGGAGATTGACACGATGATGCATAAGTTTTGTTTGGAAGCTGGAATGCATGCGGGACTTTTGGAAGGACTAGCGGCAAATTTCGTATCATACAGGAAATAGAGAGTGATATACATCTCTTGAGAACTTGTCGAGCCCAGACGATGTCCAGCTCAAATGGCCACATAGGCTTCATGTGGGCTACATGTCCAACATTTTGGGAAATGAGAATAGCCGTCTTTCTAAATCCAAAGTTGTGAACTGTAATCAAGTAATCCAATAGGATGTCTATGGAGCTGTATGAACCATCCCAAGTTGTCGCATGCATCCCTCTGACTCAGGTCGCCTTTCCTAGATAAGAAATGCTTCGAGTACAGAGAGACCTTGAGTCGGACGCCATGCTGACATCATCACATACGGAATACAGAGAATGTATTTTTGTATTCAAAAGTGGAGATTTATCTACGCTTTACAATCTCCTTATATCTACGCAGTGAAGTGTCCCTTACGATTCACGCAAGAATTGTCTTGGCATGGCCAGCTATGTACCCAATGTCCTCAGATCTTGTAGTTTCATTTTTACTCCATTAGTATGGAGACAAAGTCTTAGAGAGCAAATTAGCTACTGATCGCCAATTTGCAACACAGAATGGACTCGCTTTTCACCTGAGCCCAGAGGATGTAACCTGCCGTAGATGTTTGTTGGCGTGAATGCGTATGATGTGTATGACGTTCAAACATCGGATGTGGTAGGATATGCTTGTCCAGCAAGTACAACCATGCAGCATGATATGAATTCCTGTGTTGTCCGACTTCTTCACCTCGTTTGATTCTTCTCCTATTTAATTATACAACATTCGCAATTGTAGGAAAGGTACGAGCCAGCTCTTTTTGCTTCCACATATTTAATTTACCATAAAGACATTTCCAGAAATGAACACACTTGCTGCTAAGAGTCTACGAGCCTCGCGAGTCCACGGGAAATAAAATATCTGGGATATTTTATTTCCGTAAAGTCATCCTTGTGTACATATTATGTCCTGCACCTAGCTCACCATTTCGATTCGTGAACGTTAAGTATTATTCACTCTTAGAATGTTTGGAGGTACTGATCTGGCTTATATGGTCCTTCCCTCGGGATGATCCCTCTTTTCCAAGCCTATGTGTACCGATGGGAAGAAGAGGTCTACATTTTGAATCGAGGAGGTAACATAACATGCGAATCTTCTCCCACAATCTTCAAAAGTCCAAAAAAGGCAAACTATCGCCTGCAATGGAGATGTCCTGAGCTACAATTAAGGCCAGAAGGAAAAGGACGGGTCTTCGAGTCTGGATTCCATTAATGCCGATCGTACAAGTGTTCATAGGATGTGGTGCGCTTTTTCGCCGGGGATGAAAGAAATTTCATGAGAATGCAAGGAAAGGGTAGGTCTCCAGCATCTTTGTTTACACCACGTGAACGACTGGACCGCCGAACAAACGAATTGTACAGACACGCGTAGGTTTAAAGTTTGGACCTACTGAAGAGTGGATCGCTTTGCCTACATGCTGTTGCCTCTGTACATGTGCACGTGCTCATGGTCATTAATTAGGCCAGTATTCCAACCGATATGGACGACGTTCTTTATTCTTACTTGCAAGAGCTCACCAATCCTGCTCCTCATCCTCGAGCAATGTCTTCGTTTCAAACGAACGTCGCTATTCCACTGAACCATTACTGCATCCAGGACAAGCCCAACGCTTGTGAAGCTGATCGCCAAATGAAGGCGATGTCAAAAGCTGAGAGCGGTCTTCGTTGTTGCATGAAATCGCCAATGTTCACATGCCAGTGCCGGGAAGCAACCGGCATTTTGCACCATGTTTCAGATTGGAAGTCTCAACTAACAATACTGGCATTTGGAAGAGCTGGACAGATACCGGGGAGGTTCTATTTTCAATGAAAAAGTAAAAAAAAATTAAGCACATGAATACCTCACACAATTCCAGAATCAAGTATCCCCAATTGCATCAAAGGACAATATATCCTTCCCCGCACAGCGTATAGGTCCGTATGTGGCTCGGATGTGGAAAACAGGCCGACGGCATTACCATCAAGTGGTCAATGTGGTAAGTAATAGGTCTCTCCCTGCCATTGACGAATTGATCTAGAAACTGTAGCATCTTCTTCACATTCACATCTCCATTCGTGACTCCAATTCACGAGTTCCCTTAACAACTTACCAGGCAAGCCTGCACACTATTAATCCGGATAAGGTTCTATTGGCTTTACCTATGAGCTGTTAAGGTACTATGGCCAGTCGACCAGTGGCAGGGGATTGCAAAATCAGAGACGGTTTTGCATGTGATCTAGTAAGGCACATGTGGTTAACAGTGCAGATTGTCCATAAGGTATATATTGACATATGAAGTGAGAATGAAAATGTTATGGCTATCGGTTTATCTCCTTGAACTTGGAGGTTCTGAACTCTGGAGGCTCGTAAAAAATAAGCTGACGAGATAGGAGTTCAAAACATGAAGCAAATCTGAGCATGGTGAAATCAAATGGACGACGCTTGACTATTTTCTTTTGGTACCGTCAGTCCTTCCACAGGAGTTTAGCCTCATGTGACTTTGCAAGAGACTCCAGACGATGTTACAATGTTAAGTTGGACATGGAGTCGTCCCTAGGAACCGTGCACGTACAAAAAATGAATCTTTTCACAAGCCAGAGCCAGACAGCCAGTTTAACCTGGTGAGTGCGCATTCAGGTTTGTTATGAGGCAATCAGACAGTTGTCATTGATAAACACATGGGTTCTGTCAGTTATCAAAATCAGACGATGATTTGCAACAAAAAACCTCAACATGGCCACAAAGTATAGAAATCAAGTGTATAAGTTCAAATATGTACAATTCAATGTGGTTCACAACAATGAACCAGATTAGATCTATCTATATAGTAACTACTTCCACAAAATTCATAAGCTTTTCACATCCTGAATCTTGCTGGCATAGCTTGCCAATTGTCTACTAAAATTTCTCTAATATTATGAAGTCCATCATTGCTACCAGAATTATCCGCGATTTTTGCTATCTCTTTAGAAATCTCACAATCCGTGAATTCTTGTATCCATCTTTTCCAAAGAGGATCAGAAATCCAACTTCCTTCATGTTGACTGACTCTTGACTCTGTGGGAGATCTTGTCTCCATGTCTACATTATCAACTAGCAATACAGGCAGTTCCAAGGAATCTTGGTGTTGTGTCCTTGAATTTCTTCTTGTCCTCTTTTCCTTACTGATTACTTCCTGTTCCTGTACCGTGGAGTCCACAAATACAATCTTCCAAAAAATGTTTCTGGAATCCCTCTTCAACACCTTGGTTCTTAAACGCCGCTTGCCTTTAGCTCTCAGTCCATTGAGCAGGAAGGCTCTATTGTGACTATTTCGAATTCTATATAATCTACCTTTCCTTCTACTAGAGTCACACTCTACCGCTTCAATGATCCATAGTTGGTTGTTCGAGTGAACTGCATTTACGTCACTCAATCTGAAGCCACTCGATGGTATACCATCTCCAGCACTTTCGTCCACAATAACCTGACCTGTGCGGACGTTTTTCAACAAATAGCCAGTTTCTACACCCAGAGATGACTCAAATGTGTTATCCCTGGATGCTGCATCCGCAAGCTCCCACAAATCTCCTCCATCTTCTCCACCCATTCCCCTTCCGTTTGCTCGCAGACGAAGATCATCGTTCCGATTAAACACGAACTTTCCCGTGTAGGGATCTTGAATTCTGAACGGAATGCCCAAGGGTACCATTCCGCTATGCTCGTCGTCAAAACTCGAGGAGTTTGAAGAATCTAGCTCAGCAGCAGCATCCATCCTGCGAAGGTCGAACGGCAAGAGAGCTGTCATGACAGATGAAATAATTGGTGCACGAGCGAACGATCTCACACCCAAGCTAAGTTAGCTGCACGCTGGCTCGTGCTCGCCATTCTTCACGGTCGAGAGGCGGGTGACAACAAAACGAAATCACGCGCAACTGCTGCAGATGCTTCAAGACCATATTACGATCTAGTCTTAGATCCCATCCGAACACAAAGCATCGAGTGCTGCTGTACACATGCTGACCTCCGAAATTGAACAGGCCTGCTGATCCCGAGCAGTGGCACCCGACAGCACTCCTACTACTGCTGCTACTGCTGTGTTTTAGACACAGCAGACATGTAGCCCTAGCTCACGAGGAACTTCGTCACGAGTGACTGAATGCGCAGGGCGGGCGATATTCATGTGACTAATACTGGCTGCAGGTGCGGTTCCGAACGTGCCTACTCGACCTAAATATATGCGAGAAGCGGAGTTCCCCACCCAACCCGAACTCAACAACGCAATTTCGATCGACTGACTGCACACGGACTGTTCCGGACCATGATGAGGAGGACGTGATGATGAGACGATGTTTAGTTTCCTACAGAAGTCAATAGAAGAGAGGCACACGTGGAATCTTGATTCGCTCTGGGTGGCTGGCTAGCTGCAGCGCCGAGCAGCTCGGTCAAGAAAGCCCGGGCTTCCCTTCTCTCTCCCTTCCCCTCTCTCTCTCTCTGTTGTGGTGAGGGAGATTGAGCATACCAGCAGTTTGTGCACAATGAATATATGAGCTCTAGGCAATCGGTCGACAGGAAGCAGCAGGAGAAGTGCAGGCCATGGGGCGCTGGAAGCTCTTGGGAGTCTTGGCGGCGGCAGTGTTAGTAGAGAGGTCGAGCAGATGAGGAAGCTTGACATCGATACTTGTAGTTGTAGTAGGAGTAGGCTGCTGGTGCCGGTCTTGGGATACACTGTCGTGTAATCGCATGCAGATGTTCTAAATATGTGACACCCAAAATCACATTCTCTCTGGTACCATCCGAGCCAGCGGGGAGTTCAAACTTGCAGCGGAGCACCAGGAAATTGCAAATTGGAAGAGGAACAACCAGCCTCACAGCCAGCTGAGCAGATGAATCTGTGTGCTAGTGGAGAGGAGAGCAGGATCGCACGAAGGGAGGGAGGCAGCCAAAACAAGTTTAGAAGCTTTATAGAAAGGAGTCCGGGAGTCCGGGAGCAGGAGGTGGAGGCTGCGGGGCTGCAGGGCTTGGTGTGCGCTATTAAATATTCAAAGGTCCACTATTAGCTAGCATGGTCGGTCTGTGGTCGGCCAAATTCTTCGCTCATTGGCAAGAAGAGTGTGATCTCGAGCAGCTAGGCCGAGGGGATCCAGAACGAAACTGGCCACTGCCTTCCTTCCTTCCGTCCGTCCCAGCGCTCGATGCATAGCGGCAGCAGCAGCAGGCTTCAGCTCTGGTCTGGTGCTCAACTCCACTCCTCTTCCCGTCTCGTGGCTTCGCTATGCCGGTTGTCAAAAAGGGGCCGCAGAATTATAATACGAGGCAGCCCCACCCCCAGCCCTAACCAGCGCTTTTCTCTGAGCCCCCGACGTCACTCGCAACACTAGGCAGCTGCTAAATTTACGGATTCGCTCCTCGAATCAAGGTCCTGTCTGATTATCAGCCCCGCATTCTAGACACACACATATATCTGTCCGCAGAGGGGCCGCGATGTTCCTCTAAATTCTTGGGACATTGCGGTGCATGTGAACCCACTGTGGCTATTCCCACACTCGGGCCCTGCGCTGCGCATTTGACCAGTCAGGTTCCGCTTCCCTGGAGCCGCTGAGTGAGATTTACGCACGCACACGCTGACGTGGCCGTCGAGTTGGCTGCTTCTCCGCTCCTCTCCTCTAGATCTTCTCTCGAGCCTGGACAGCACAAGAGTGTTCCTGGTACCGCTGAAGGTGATTCAAGAGAGCCAAGGAAATTTGCAAGTTGACTGCTGGGAGATTTTTATCTCTGGGGAATGTCGTTGGGTTCGGATCGCTGGGCTGAGTCCTTTGGCAGCATCCAGGTCTCGGTTTACAACATAATAAGCTTGTCAGCCCACTGCAGTGTATACGTTCCTGATGCTCGAGGGGAGGTAAGGAGAGTAGAGGAGAGGAGAGACGATAAAAGTAACAGCATTTTACATAAATGGAGAGCAGGCGGCGTGATATTGAGGTGGAGAAACAAATGTCAGAAAATGCTCGCCGCTGTTCAGACTCCTCCAAATTACGAGTGCCCCTGAGTAGTCTGAGTCTGAGCAGTGGCTCCAAGTCCAGTCGGCTGTGAGTTAGTTAGTTAGCCATCAGCGATGAGTCCTTGGAGCCAACACGTACAGACCCACCGAGCATGACATGATTGCTGCCAGAATCCAGAGTAAAATGTAAGCATGACAACGTTGGGGCTCCAGCTTCTGTCGTACTGAGAGTAGTATCCAACACGCCAACATTCACCCAAACCTCAGATCAAATCATTCGCTCATTCCCTTTCTCATTCCCTACATTAGTTGGACGGAGCACACTTCTGAAACACGTTATTTCAGACGTACAAAGAACAGAAACTGTACCGTTTCGTACATCTTCCATTTAGTTCCCGTCTTGTCTAGGATCTCGGGATTCCATTCTACGTCCGGCCCATATTTGAATCAGTTACAGGAATACCTCCTCAGCTCCTTCCTTTCTCTCTAAGATACAACATCCCTTGCTCTGGAATTTACTTCACTCGTATCGGTCTTAGGTCGGTCTGAAGTCGGTGCCGAAGACAATGCTGCAGCAGTTCCTGTTCGGCAAAAGCCAAGACGCTCGTATATTCTAATGTCAGAGGATTAAGTTCAGAATTTGAGATTCCTTTTCAACCGGTCACACTTTTACTTCGGGGCTTAGATGAAGTGGCTGAAGTGGCTGGCGAGTCCATGGCGTCATGCTGCATAGAGAAGAAGACCAGGTGTGGATACAGATTAAGAACTTTTGAACAAACCAGATCTCAGGAGCAATGAGGGCGAAGAGAGGGTCTGTGGCCTTGTCTGAAAGAGCCAAGGGGCGTCGTCCTGCATCAGCAGCTGCTGGGAGACAGCGTGGGGAAGGGACTCGAAGGTGTTCTAGATAGGGACGGCAGCAAAAGGGCTGGCATGAATCGAATGTCATGAGCTCAAGGCGTGAAGAGCTTTCCGCCCCAGGATTAAGTGCGAAAGAAACCGGGAAGGATGGAAGGAAGGAAAGCCGAAAGTCAGTAGACTAGCGTAGCTTTCTTATCTTGCACTAGACACTAAAGGAAGCCAGGCGAGGCCATGGCATCAGCTTATCAGATCAAAGAAACACCGACATTCCCCGGCCTCGGCAAGACTAGAGTGCTCTTGGCCTGCACTCACGATGTAGCTAGAGCGAGAGAGAGTCGGAAAGAAAAGAGGAGACAGAATTTGTTGAACCGGACCACCATCGACGCACATTTCATGTCCCTTGAACAGGAACTAGCACTAGCCAGTTTGCCAGCCAGCCAGTCGAGCCCAGGCTAGCTACTTCTCGGCAAAAGAGCTTAGAATCGATGATCAAATATCTTACACCTTTGCGGACGACTCTTGATGTACGTCAAGCCTTTGTAAGCTACCCTGCCCCACACGTACGGCCCCTCGACTGACCACAGAAACCGGTCACAAGTACGCAATCATCAGGTGTCACGCATGGATGGATGCAGAGGCTGCCAACAATATTTTTCCATTCAAAATTTTCCGCCTGCGGCCGGATGCTACAAACGACTGACCCAGCCTCCGGGCCAATTACTGTATTCTAATAGTAATTTACTATTTTCAGGAATAATTGGAAGCCAGATTTCTAAGGTTACAACATGTGCATCAAATACTTCCGTGTTTTAAGCTTGCCAACCTATACTTATTGCCTACATCCAGGAACTTAACTCCCATATATCCCGCGTACAAGCCCATGGAATGTATCCAGGTGTACGAGTGTGGAATCTGTAAGTGCTATTCTCCGAGAAGTATGTTCCTTCAGCTTCGAATTCAAATGTGGCCAGTGCTAGTTTGTTTATTAGTATTTTTATATCTCTGTATATAAATATATCTATCTATCTCGGTCGCAGGACAGACAGGTTATCATTGTTGTTTTACATAGATGAGGATCTGAAGTAGCCGATCGAGCTGTCAGACGGTGCGATTGTTTTATTTCTATTTTTTATCTTGAAGGTCCAACGTGCATTCGACTTCCGAGGCAGAGGTTAGAAGAGCGTTTCTCCTCCACTGATCAGCGGCCAGAGACTTACTGATATACGTATATCTCATCATCTTCCTTGTCTTCTTATGAGATCGGGATGGCGGTACGTACTCTTTGATCATGGTGTCTCGTCTCGGTGAAGGTTACGGCTGTGATGGAATTCGGGTGCCTCGGCTCGCTCTAACTTTGAATTGGCTTACGGACCTTGGACATGTGGCATCGATCGTCATGATTGAAGGGGAGATCAAAATAATATATCTGCACAGCAATGTCCATGAACACTTCGCCCAGGGCTATACCTCCAAAAGACCCACGTGAATCGGTGACAATTCGATGCACACCTGATTACAGGGCAGCTTACTCCGGGCCTTAGATCTGGAGGTGGCCAAGAAATGGGTTGACCGACTTGTGCGGGGCGGGGCTGTGGAATACCATCATTTTCTAACGCTTGACGTCGAGAACTCGACCACCTTCGCTTCTATTGCTGCTATTGCTGGGCTCATTTCGCATAACAGCGTTAGGACAAAAAAGTTGTATGTTTGTTATCGGACAAGATTTCCAAACTTGCAGTCGGAGTTTACTTTTTTTATCTTACGCTATATAATACTTGCAAAATCAGCCCTAGAATCAGCAAGAATAATAGCATAACGATAGGTCATTTTCTTGCCACCACATGCTTCCGTCAAGACATAGCAGTTTTGATATTAGCGTTAATCAAATTCAAATTTTACTTAAGAACTAAAGCTAAAGACGAAAGTAGAAATCATTATTCGTCCCACCGAGTTTCGTGCCAAGCTTTCCAATACATTCTCGCACAAGATAGTGACGGTGTTCATTGCGTCACCTACGTAGGATAAAAAAGGTGATACCTGAACAACATAGACCCTGCCACCTGTTATATGTGTGACAAGAGGTTAGTGATCCTTGCAGCTTATCAAGGAGAAGTCACGGTAAAAGTTTTGAACTTGCTAATAGCTATTCGATTTTTTTGGACTGTTATCAATTTTTAACTTTTCATCCGTCGCAATGTATGTAATAGATTACATACATTGTGCTCGAGCTAGGACAGAATAGTACATTCAAGCAAATTCCGGCTTTCCAGACTCCATAAGTTCTTTCGCTTGTGAAATTAATCTGCTTGCTTGTTGGTGGACTGTCGTGGAGCAAACTTTCAAATACCTATAGATCCTAGATTCAAGGAGAACCCACTCAAAAGAGTTCTATTCTCTCTTCGATACTTCTAGGACTAAATTGTAACAGTTTCAATCGATCTTGCTTTTTCAGACCCCGTGGTGAATGAATGGCGGAGAAGAGGAAGATTTTGCAGAGCCGCTTATTTGAGGACACAACTGTTGGTCTTCGTTCAAAATCAGAACCTATACAATGGACGATTTTAGATCAATAGGCAAAAATTGCGCACATGAAGACATCGGAGTTCACTATGCCGGACTATTCAGCTCATTGCGTCTGTACCTTTTCAGTTACTCATTCCTGCAAATTGAACTTTCCTGTTAAAAGTATGCAGTACAAACATAAATCTCGAGATTGGTTTCAGTTGAACTAGGGCCAGCAGAAAAGTTCATAGTTTCTGTAGCTTTATGGGTCAATGACATTACAATGTCTTGGCTTTGACACTATCGATCGAATGGATTGAGATCAAAGTTGCTGTTGGCTTCAACTGTTCATGATGTCCCGGACACACGTACATCGAGCTGACTTTGTATGGAAGTAGGACCCGGTTGGGCCACCGGATATGCTCCAACTCAGACCAAGTTTAAATGGTTGTCTAGAAGCTGTCGATGAGCCGCTGTTGAAATGATCCAATCGATAACTGTATCTTAACACAGTTTGCTTGTATTACTGAATGAAATTCGACATGATGGGTCCATGATCGTGCCAGATATTTGGCTAGAGTGATCATTGAGGCTGAAGTCTTCTTTCTTAACACAACAAAACGGATTGATTGAATTATCTAAGTCTCAAATTGTTCATCATCGCATCTCGAGTTCGAGTGCAGGTAGACGAAAGGGACCTACACAATAAATGAGCCACCATCTGATGGGCTCTTCCCAACACTTCTTTGGTTGCAGATGGAGAGAACAAATATATATACTACTCATGTGAAGATGTCTAGGCTGAGTCATGTAGTTTATTAAAGAGGAAAATCCAAATTTACTATTTGAGTCTTAACTCACACCTTGTTCCGTTTGCACCGGGCACATGTCTCTGGGTATGCGACACATTGAAGGGAAGCATCAACTAGAATTGTATATTAGCGTTGGATACAACATCAAATATCTGATTCCAGCCTTTGATTTATGCTTACATCTAGAACAAATCTCGGTTACTGCACCAGCTTAGCGCAGGTCATCGGCAACTGCAACGTTGGACCTCCCGGGTCCAAGTTTCTGAGTCCTGCTACCTGCTTGGTATAAGAGGATGTGTGGTGTGTCCATGTTTCAAACATCAATACTTAAGAGCGCCAAGAAGATTGCTCAAT